TGATTATCTACATCAGTAGATTCAAATTCATCAGTTGAACTAATTGATGGTAAACGTGGTCGTTGTTGATTAGTTTGTAATTGTTTTTCGAGACCAGATGAACGTCGTCGTATAAGATTTTTATCAATAAATTGTACAGATGGACGACGACTACGACGACATTGAGCTTTTTCATGATCTGATGCAGCTTCAACATCAGCATCATACTTTGTCGTTGACATATTTGCTCAATCGAGGAAAATAAAATGTTTGTCAAATGAGAAGAAAAAAAACGACTGTTGAAAAGACAAAATACGATAATAGCAAAACTATATAAGCGTACGCACACACGCACACACGGACTGATCGAATGCAGGAAATGAAGAAAACGACTATGATGAAAAGAGGTGTTTGTGTTTTTTTATATATGTCGTTTTCTCTGTGTCTGATGGAAGGACAAGAATGAGAAACAAGAACTGATATGGGACTATAACTTGCTTCGTACATCTTTTTTTTCTCTTGGTCGTTTCTTTTTTTCTTCCTTAGGAGTTTTTTCCTATTCTTCTTCGGCTTTTTTTTTCCTCTTTCTTTTTTTTCTCTAATGCATTTAAAGACATGATGATTAGGGAGGAAAAAACTAAAGGAAGAGAAAATAAGCTAGCTAGAACTCACACTCGTTTTCGAAGACATTCCCTGAGGCATGAAAATCATCTTCTTCTGTCATAGTTGATGATACTTGGCTTGCCAACGTTTGAAAAGCTTTCTTATCGAGAAATTGAACTGATGAACGTCGACAAGTACGATTTTGTTGTTCATTTGCATAAACTGGACTAGTGCTAATAGTAATTGGTTCGATAGTGTTAATTTGTCCATTTGTATGATTACGATTTTGATTAATATTTTCATCACTATTTTCAGAAGAAAACATGCGACAAAATTCTGATACTGGTTCAGAATTTTGATTTCGTGAACGTTGTTGTCCACTATGTGAATGAAATGAGAATATACGTTTTAATGCCATATATTTTGTAGACAGAATTATAATGTCGACGATAAAGTGAAGAAAAAAAAACAGGCAAATAAATGGTGTGTAGTGTTTGCAAAAGCAAATTTTTCTTTTTTTTTTTTTTGCTGAAGTAAGAACAACAACAAGAACAATAACACAAACAAAAGCTCTTTTTCGTTCTTTATCACAACGCTGTTCTTCTTTACACTCTTCCGAGTGGATGGATGAATCAATAATAATTCCGATTTTCTTTTACTAATAGGCTAATGTACTTATACGTCGTTTTTCTTTTTTTTTTTTTTTGGTGTCCTTCGTATTAACTATATAACTACGTATGTGGATTGTAATAACAACTTTTACGTAGTTAGTATGTAAATAGACACAAAAAAAATGAGTAATTCTTATTCGTGTGCTAATATAAAAAAAAAACATTGATAGCTGATGACAATTTTTATTGATTTTCAACTTGATTATTTGATAGTTATTATAATGTTTTGAAAAAAAGTACTTATACATACGTTCAAATATTTGTATTGGTTGTTCAACATTTGAAAAACGTCTTTCAATTATATTTGAATTAGCGCGTGATCGAGAATTATATGGTGTTAGAGAATCAACAGTTAATTCATGTGGATTTATTTGTTGTTTTAGTGGATGATACATTGTCGTTACATTACTATGATTGACATCAACTAATGAAGTTGAATAGATGCCTGGTACAGGTTTTGATAAAACGTTTTTATCCATTTGAATTGGTTCCAGAATCAAATAAACGCCATACACTAATACTTATAATGATCTGATCATAAACACCAACCATCAGACGAACATTGGAATGAATGACATTCAACAGTAGCAATGTGTATTACTTCAATCTCGCCTCACACTTTGCTTTTTATCTTTCATCATTCCAACCAAAAAAAAAAAACAATATATATATATATATAATGCCTACCATGGCATTATCTTTCTCTTCCATTCTATTTCAACTCTATATATATATATGCAAAAAGAAGAACAAGATGGTTTATGACGCACTTAAAAAAAAAACAACTATGTGTTCTGGAATTTTTCATATACCTATGAAATTTCATCTATGTTTTATCTATTAGATTACTTACTGCCTTCAGATAAGACTGAACTTTGTGAATATGAATATTGTCGTCGTGTTGTTGGATCAAGACAAATGCGATGCTAGAATAAATAGAAAAAAGAAATTCGATTATATATTCAAAAATCTTTTGAAAAAGAACAATACATATGAAAAAAAAAGGTAATTATTTGAATATTAAAAGAAAAACGAAAAGAAAACATAACTAGGCTTCTTACAATCATAAAAATTTCGTAACCTTTTAGATTATAAAATAAAATTCATAGTAAATTTGTAATCCATCGAGAATTTTTCGAATAAATTTTATTCGATCGATCAAAGAAAAGTTATGATGTTATGACTCTTTCCTAGAGGATGATCATATGATACTTCTTCAAATATGTAAACTCTACACAAAAGTAAAATGTGTGAAATTTCTTCAGTATGCAAATAAAATTTATTATTAGAAACCTAATGTACACATAAGAATTAAAGAGAATTGACTGTAACTTCAGTAGAATTCGATAACGACAAAAGCGAAATTCAGCTATCGAAAGAGAAGAACTCATGAGGTTTGTTTTGTCTGATATTGTACAAGATAAAATTATTTTAAAATCTACCATCTTCGCAAAATATTCAAAAAAATGCATAACACCGATGTTCTGTTTCGATGTAATTTTGATTTTGACATATGGGCTAAATCAGACAAAACGGAATATTCGCAACTTTCATTTGAGTTTTATTCTCTATAAAAGAGTGAATTTTTCAGATAAATTCTTTTAGCATAGACTTTTATGAAAATGTTTGGTCTTTCATATGATTATTAATTAAAATTAATTAATTAAAAAGTAATTAGCGAATATCTCGCTAACCATATGAGAAAGAAGTCTGAAAACTTCAGAATATGTTCTAGGGCACAAGCTGTATTTATGGTAAAATTTTCAGCAAGATTGGACACCAAAAAATTTCTTCCGAAAAATCGATTTTCTAGAGACTCTGAGTAATGATTTATAACATCTGTAGTCGATTTCGAACTTTTCAGTTGGTTACAAGAGCACCATCTTGATTGTGTAGTTGTACTGCGTCACGTCGTTAACGACAAATAAATCGTTTTTTCTTTGAAAAATCTAGGCATGCTCAGAAAAAATTTTGCGTATAGATTTTGTAGCTTCAGAAGCCGTCTATGGAATGCCCTATTTAGTTTTCTAAAATTGTGGATGAATTGAAAGTTTTTAAAAACTAAAATACACGAAAGAAAAATTGATGTCCTTTTTTGTGTTGTCATGCCGCTAACGGTAGTTTTCTACTGTTAATTCCTCTGAACAAAGCTCCATAGCGCTGATTTTTTAAAGCTATCTAGAGTAACTTAATATCCATGCAATATATAAAAATTAGATCTAAGAAAGCTTGTTATCTCGAGATGCATATATTTTACTTTTGCGAAGTCACGTCGCTAACAAATCATTTAGCCTATATGCTTCGGATCTATAGCACAAGGCACGATTCACTGATTATCTTCTCCTATATGGTGTAAGATAAGTTTTGACTCTCTCATGCAATATTGTTTTCTCACATGGTTCTGTATTATTGGCTGAAGCTGACATTCACCATACACCCACTAAACGTCTAAATCTATTCTATACTAGAATCTCAACTTTTTGCTTATTATTATGATTACACAGATACAAATGATATCATACTCAAAAAAAGAAATTTTTCCTAATTATTTTTGACATCATTACGGATGAGAAAAATTCTAGTCATTCGAACACGTACTCACTACGAGCAACGTGTGCTTTTCTGTATATAATTCTTCCGTTCTGTAATTTGTCCATACCATTATGCAAGCGCACGATTTACTTGCCGATGATTATATAAAAATAATTTTTTCAACTAA